CTCCGTTTTTGACATTCTTAATATGCACGTATAGGTGAGAATATGATCAACAACTCTCGTTTAGACTTTGTCGGCTAGTTTTGAGTTTATTTTTAATATTATTATTTTTAACATACCGGGATAGGAAAATCCGTTAAAAATTCATAACTTCTTCATCTGAAGTCCGTTTTCGTCTGTCTTTTTACCGTTGAACTACTATTAACGAGACCTTCGATTCTTGTTTAGGTCATGTTAGCTCAAAATCATCCGATCTTTTTTTCGAATATTTGGGTTGTGTATTGTTATGTCGAATCTTAGAAAAATCATAACTTCTTCATATGAAGTCGGATTTGAGTGTTCTTTTTACAGATATTCTTAGGTTAACGTATTCTACGACTTTCATGTGGAAAGTTAAGGCTACAAAGTATTTTATTGAAAAACTTTATTTTTACACTTACAGTGTTTTGTCGGTTTTGTCGCGGATCTTCGATTTGATCATAATTTCTTCGTTATAGCTTGGATTTAGGAGTTCTTTATTTTTTTTGGAATCCTTGTTAAAATATCTATCACTTGGTTCATCCTAAATGAGTTTATTTAATACTTCATTTTTTACCTTATTTTTCATTTCAACATAAATTACAATAGTTAACCTAGACTATTACATTGTGAATTTATAATTATCTAGGTAGATTTTAGACTCTAATAACTATAGAATTTCTCCAGTTATAACATGATAAGACTATGGCTGGAAAATAGCATTCTTTACTGCATATATGGTATGCAATATTTTGAGGAACTCACTAAGCTTTGTACTTAAGGTTTATTGTTTATGGTTTTAGGTACTTATGGTTCACAATGGAAAGACTCGACTTGATCGCAGCGCATACACCAATGTTTTTCAGCAATTTAGTGATTTTAGTATTGTACTTTGATAACTGTTTTATTATGAGATACTTCTAGTTGTTTGAGTAAAAGATAAATGGGTATTTTGATTGTATTAAAAATGAATTTTATACCTTGAAATTTTAGGATGTTACAACAAGTCTAATATTGATCCAATTGATACAATCCTCAATCCCAAGTGATACATATGGTGGTGTTATATATATTGTACTAGTCGCAACATCGGTTTAAAGGATAGACACAACAGGGATTCATGGTTGTATGTTCGTGGTTTCATGATAAAAAAACGACAAGTAATGTAATGTGTAGGGTAGGTGGGGTAATTAAAGGAAGAGAGATTGACAGATGGAAGTTGTGAGTCACACGATCTAAAGAGGGTTGGAGAAAGAATGAAGAAGAAGAATTAGTGTGACGGTTTGGTGTAGATGGATGAGGTGGGTCCAGTATATTAAAATCATTAGTTTTATAATTTAGTTACATAAAATAAATATAAAAGAAAATTATAAAGGGTAATATAGTTATTTTATATCGGTCTCATACTAAAACCCATAATAAAACGAGTTGTATTAACTTTTTCACCAAAGGACTAATGGTAGAATTTAGTCTAAAAGTTAATATTGTTAATATTTTAGTAATTAATAGAAATGGTCCACATCTTTTTTGCAGCTCTAGTCCAATTTTTAATAAGTTGATAGGTTATATCCTCATTTTCCAAACTTATATTTTTGGTCAATGATATATATAAAAAGATAGTTTTATCTTTTATATTATGGTTTTTTATTAAATTATACAAATCATCCGTATGGTATGTTCTAATTTGTGTGTTTTATCTCTATCTTTTATTTTTCACTCGGTCCATCCTTATTTAGTTTTAAACTTACATAATTTCCTATTATCTTTGTTAGTCAGAGTTTTCTTCCTCAGTGTGCCCCATACACCTTTAATGTAAGGGTTTAAATTTTTTTTTTTACTTTGTGTTAATGTGTATATCGAGCTATTGTGGTGTAGTGTGTCAAAAGTGTTTCTTAACACATCTTGGATCATTACACTCGATTTTTAATAATAAAAAATAAAAAAAAAAATAAAAAAAAAAAAAATAAAAAATAAAAAAAAAAAACTTGTAGAACATCAATGGTGTGGTTAGAACTAGTCAAATTTTTTATTGATTTTAAACATGTAGTCTTTTATTTATATGTTGCCAATTACTGAGACTTAGACTAATACCACGATACATGATAGGTGAATTGCATATGAGTGGTAAGACCAAATATCAAACTCAAGAGGAACATGGATGTACTAATATTAAATAATCCAAGTACTAAAGTATATGATATTGCCTAAATTAGTCATATATTTTGGATGTTTATTGTAATATATATATATATATATATATATATATATATATATATATATATATATATATATATATATATATATATATATATATATTACAATAAACATCCAAAATATATAACTAATTTAGGCATTATCATATACTTTATATGTGTATGTGTGTATTGTTCTAGAAGGATGTAATTTGAGATAATTGATATTTAATATTGGATGAATATAGTTTAAATTGGAGTGAGAAGAAAAATGAAAAGATTGGGATAAAGAGGGAGTTGATATGGATCAAATTCAAACTTACCATAAAATACGGTTTTAACGCGTTGAAGAATGATGATGCCGTCACGAAGATGCATAAAAATTCGAGAACCATCGGAACATATAACACATAGTAACGTGAATACTGATGCGAAGCTGTGCGCCTTTTTATTTTCTATAAATACAAGATTTTGCAATGCAATTCGGTCTGCAGAAAAATACAACCCTTTATTACGAAAAATAAACCCTTTTGATCGTATTGATGGCTGGAGAATAAGAGGAAAACATACTTTTGAAAATCACAAGAAGAAAGATTGAGAAAATTGTGATTCTTTTTATTGATTTGTTGTTTTGTGAAAATAATGGGCTAAAACCTTCTTACAAAAATGTACATGCTACCGAACGTTGACATTTTTGTAATTTACTACAATATTTTATAATTGTTATGAAATAACATAGAAATATATTTGCAATTAAACTTTATTTTAGAAACTATGATTTGACATATCTTAAATTTTTGTTTCATGGAGTTGTCGTTATTGGAGAGTGTAAACTACCCCTTGCTTATTAAAAACCATTTGATGCAATTTTTTATTATTATTGTTATTTAGTAATATTCTAATTATTGATTTTACACGTATAACATAGTAAATATAATATTCACAAAACATATGAAATGATCATTAAGTGTTAATGATTTTTTTGAGCTTCTGTACTTCAAAAAATTGTATAAATTTTTATAATTTACAACCAAAAAGCATCATAGTTTCTTGATTTTAAATGTTATTTTATCCATTTTAGTAGTACTTAAAACAAAATTATGAAATTTCTATCACCATAATAATATAAAAATGAAACTAAAGATAACTAAACAGACCAATGTATTATTAATCACACATTATTTTAAGGTGTTACTCACATAAATGGTTTACACAACCACTATTACACTCACATATAAATGTACACAAAGTAATTTAGAAGGTAAAAATAGAATTTCCCTATTTTAATTTCCCAAGTACTTTTTTAATAATACATGGTGATGTAAACTCTTCTTAAATATGACTTCATCTCAATTAAACTTTCACATTCATTTTTTTTTTTTCAGTTATATATTAATTTAAAGTCCCAAACTTTTATTCAATAATAGATGATGATGTGAACTCTTCCCATCTAAGACTTAATCCCAATTAAAATTTGACACTCAAATAATACTTTACTTTTAGCTTAATTGGTCCATACCTACCACACCAATTCACCATATAAATTCCATTCTAACTTTCCATTTTTGTCCATTCCACAATTTTATGAATTTGACAAATCTAAATCAAAACGAACACGAAACATGCAATCTTATGGTTGAAAGCTGTCTCAGATGTTTTATTATTTCATCTATATTATGGAGAATAATCATATGGAACGATTAAAGCATATCCTTATGATAAAACGATAAAACTGGTCAAAGAAAACGATATTATATTTCTTTTCGACTGTAGACCCCACTTGCTTTTGTTTTTGTTGTAATAATGGACGTATTCTTAGTCACTACATGATGGTGTAAGATATTGGTGTACAATTGACGGTTTTGTTTGTTTCATATGTTACAAAAAAGGACATTATGTGAACAAGTGGTTTTTCTAAAGAACATAGTTATATATTTAAATTGTTTATCTTCTGAACAATCGTGAATGTATTGATAATATTGGTTTTTATATTTTCAAGAGTCACCTTCGAAGATGTTTGTCGAACAACCGAGATGAATAATAGCTGTCATATACTCGAAGTCATTTTAAATATTAGAAAATGAGATTTAAGTTAAAAGTATGGAGTTTTAAAAACTAAAGTCCAAAACATACAACTTAGATAATATCAAATCACGATTTATTCAAGAATTTGAACCTTAATTTTCTTCCTTGATATCACCCAAACCATATTTTATTGGACCTAAATCATGACACAGCACCAATAAATATCTAAATTATGACTCGATGCCAAATGAATATTCTTTTCTATCTCATAATTCATTAAAAAAAATGTTAAAAATTCATATATATTCTTTTTGTCAACCATGTGGATTACCCTTCACTAAATTAATAGTTAAAGATTCTTATATATCTAAATAAATAACATTAATTTAATTGTAAAGTAATAAAGTGATTGTAACTTCTGAAAAAGTTTGGATAACAACGTTAACCTCAAATATAACATGTGAAGTTGTGAACACAAATAATTATAAGATTTACAATTTCGTTGTTGTGGAACTTAAGAAAAGCAAACTGTTAACACATTAAAAATATAAAAGAAAAACGTTAAAAAAAACATTTTTACAAAATTACCCAAATGAAAAACAAAAGTATTTTCCACTTGGCATTAAAAACTATTAATAAAATAAGAAAGATATCCCCCTTTTCTATATCCCATTTATGACCTATTTCACAATTATCAGTAAAACATTTCTTTTTGCTATTTCAACATTATTTTGCTATGTCAATTCCATTCCATCATTGATCCTATAATCATTGGAATCCGAACATTGGACTGAAAAAACTTGATTGGTTTAAGTTGTTTTGATGGGTGTCTTCAAACTTGATGGGATGCGATTCCCTTACCCTCGTTTCCAGGATTGGAGTTGACGATTGAGGCATGATTCCAATTCCAGTTTCGATTCCGGCATTGTTTTCATAGTTTGTGTTGTGATCATCTAAAAGATGAGAAATCGAACCTAATGATTCCAATTCCCATAGATGAGCAAGTGAAAATGTCCTCGGGATTTTCATTGATTGCAAATCCATGGAATTATGATCATCGGAAACAACATTTTCGGCGTTTGAATCTTCTTCTCTTTGTTCCAAAGGTTTTGCAGCAGTTTTCTTCTTGTAAATTCGACATAGAACCCAATCATCAAGCTGAAAAACATGAAAAACACGTAAATCAGATGGGTTTTACAATGATTCAATCAAATCGACAAACATGATGCAAACTGAAATCGTTCTTCTTACCCTCATTGATCCGAGTTTCTTAGCGGGTTGTGATCGAGACTCTTTCAATCGATACTCATGCATAATCCAATCGGTTTTAACCCCCTTTGGGGGTCTACCTTTGTAGAACACCAAAGCTTTCTTCACGCCAACGTATTTTGATCCACTGTAAATCGCTTTATCTGTCCCTGTAGCTTTCCAATACCCTGAAACAGCTGCTCGATTTGGGCGAACTCCATTTGGGTATTTTCTATCGCGAGGTGTGAAGAAATACCATTCGTTTTCTTCAAATTCCGTTTTCTCTGTTATCAAAATTCAAAACAATCAACATAAACTCCATAGTTCATAACCAATCACAAACTAAATCAAAACACTAACCAGGCAACTCCCATGGGTCAAATTTGTAGATATCAACTTCAGGGATTATAGAAACAGGACATGGTTTAGATAACGACTGGTTTCGCAGATAGAACATGATCAATTCTTCATCGGTGGGGTGAAATCGAAACCCAGGTGGGAGATTACAGTTGTTTTCCCTTCCAACCATGTTTAACCAAAAGGGTGTTCGAACTTCGAAGAAGAGATGAAAGGAGGAATTGATTGACTGAAAAGGGGGGAAGAGAAGTGAGAGTGTTTGAAATGTTGGCAAGGAGAAGGGATGCGAATTTATGTGAGGGGTTTATTTGTCGATATGTGAAGATTACATCATTCTTGATCTTGATTGGTTGGTTTGACTTTTGACTTTTTACTTTTGATTTGAGTTCCAATTGAGACTTGGCACACACCCATACTTGCAAGATTAGGTAATACACACCACACACAACTATTAATTTAATAGGAATAATCCATACTCCTTATGGGAATATATATATTTTTTTAAAAAATTTTTTAATATTTTTAATTTTCTTTTTTTGTGGTGCTTTAACAAACTTTTATTTTATGGGCACACTCAATTGACAAGTCTCAATTAAGATTCGAATATGTGATATTAGGCCATGACGAGTATCGGCAACGTATATCATTTCCACTCCAATAGGCAGCTTTTTTTTTTTTTTTTTTTTTTTTTTTCAATTTTTAATTAGTATTATATAAAAAAAATTTAAAAAATTCAGACTTTTTTGTTATTATTTTTTATCGTTTTTATCTACGAAATGTGTTTTATTATAGAATTAATGAGATATTTCTATTTTATTATATTAAATATTTATATAATTATTAAATTATATTTTTATATATTTATTTATAAAACAAAAATATATGGTAATGAGAATCCACTATTTCCTATAGAGGACTGAAAAAGAATGTGGAAGGAAAAAGTGAGAAAGTGAAAAGATAAACCTTTGGTCTCATAAATCAAGTTAGTTTATATAGATGATTTTTTTTTTTAATAATAAGCTTTACTAACAAAAATCCTCAATTAGGATGTAATGATCATATATAGTTAGTAGTCATGACTTCAATAATGTAAATGTAATCACAATTCACAAGTTTTGGTTTTAGTTTGCAATTATTAAGGATGTTTTAGGCGTTGATAAATAATAAAGATATTTTTGTTAAAGTATATATTTTGTAAATGTTTGTATCTTTTAAATGAAAAAAATTGTATGGTATAATCAAGATTATTTCTTCACAAAATTAGATAAATTGTGTCTTTAGACATCAAGAAACTCCTTAATGATTATTGATGTGCAATATATATATATATATATATATATATATATATATATATATATATATATATATATATATATATATATATATATATATATATATATAGGTTCAAATTCATTTGAGACCATTATAATTTTGTAAGACCATAATACCAAATCTAAAAATAATTTTAAAATGCAAAGTAAATGGAAAAATCCAAAAATTCTTTTTTAAAATATTATTTTCGGAACTTGAATTAACTAAAAAAAATTTTAAAAAAATAAAATAAATTAAAAAAAAACCTGTTTTTTTTTGTGAAAAATATATGAAATATTCTAAATAGAATATTACACTGACATATTTTAAAAAATAATTTTAAAATGAAAAATAAATGGAAAAATCTAAAAATTCTTTTTTTAAATATTATTTTCGGAACTTGAATTAACTAAAAAAAAAATATTAAAAAATATAAAAAAAATAAAAAAAATTCTATTTTTTTTTTTGAAAAATACGTGAAATATTCTAAATAGAATATTACACTGTACATATTCTAAAAATAATTTTAAAATGCAAAATAAATGGAAAAAACAAAAAATTCTTTTTTTAAATATTATTTTTGGAACTTGAGTTAACTAAAAAAAAATTAAAAAAATAAAAAAATACGTCTCACGGTTTCACAAAATTAGACCGTCTTACATTAACATATATATATATATATATATATATATATATATATAATATATATATATATATATATATATATATATATATATATATATATATATATATATATATATATATATATATATATATATATATATATATAAAAGTAAAGAAACGAATGTTTCTTTTTGAATACATTACGCTCCAATGTCATTGGATGTGCAATCCACGACTTCTAGCTTATTAAGTAATTCTACAATTTTAGTATGCACTATAAAATGTATGGATAGCAACTTCTCGACAAATTGTAGGTTGAAGTTACCTCTACATTAAAAGATAATAATATGCTATAGGGCATTATAAAATGTTATTATACTCCTTAAAACACATTTATATAAATTGTATAAAACATGGTATATCATAAAATATATAACTGCATTTATTATGAAAGTTGTATAAGAGTTTGATAACGTGTGATTAAGACTAAATTTAAGTTGAATAAAATATGGATGATAATACGAAATTAATTTAAGAGACGAATTTGAATACATGGTTTATGAGTAGTGGACGGTAAAAGCAAAATTATAGTATATATTTGTTAAATTATTTGAGTACACATCAATCTATTAAATTCCAAAAAAATTCAATGGCTATAAAAACAATAAAAGTCATATGTAATCAGCATCCAATTTTGTTCCACTACAGAAACAACATAAAAATAAGACTTGAACGGTAATATTTGAAAATTATTCAAAGATTACTTAGATCTGACAAAATATTTTAATAACTAGAAAGTAACATTTTTTTTTTGAGTTAGGACTTGATTCCTATGTTGAATAAGGCAATAAATACATTTATTGGTCTTTATGGTCTATCAAGATAGGTCCAAGGTTTATCCACAAAAAGTAAAGCATAGTGCACATGTTTGGTTATATATATATATATATATATATATATATATATTATATATATATATATATATATATATATATATATATATAACTATTTAATGTGAGAACGTGAGAACACTACTTTATGTTACTATTGTACTATAATTTTGTATATATACAACGATATGATATTATTCATCAACAAATATACGGACAATCACACATTAAAATTTTGTATGTACAACTTTATGACATTATTCATCACCGAATATATGAACCATCACATATTTAACATTCACATTAGAATTTACTAAATTACTATATATATATATATATATATATATATATATATATATATATATATATATATATATATATATATATATATATATATATATATATATATATATATATATATAAATTTTATAGTAGAATAGCAATATAAAATTGAATATATTCATATTATAATTAGTACAATACTATACATATTAAATTTATAGTAGAATAATAATATAAAATAGTGTTCTGACGTTCTCACATTAAATAGTGTTCTCATTTGATCTTAACCCTATATATATATATATATATATATTATATATATATATATATATATATATATATATATATATATATATATATATATATATAGAGAGAGAGAGAGAGAGAGAGAGAGGGGGAGAGAGTTGAGATCGGTTGACAACTCATAGTTTCCCAAGAACCTAAGAATTAATTGTGGAGCGTTGGATTAAAATTAAATCATTAAATGCATTATCATCATCATACCAATCCCACTTAATTTTTTGTATTATTGGAAATATTAATTAAAAAAAACTCTCAAATTCACATTATAAACTAAATTTTGGATTTTTTTTATTAAAAAATAAATAATTTTAGTTTTTTTTTAAACTGCATATTTTTTTAAGTTTTTTAGAAAGCATAAATTTTTAAAAAACTTTTAATTATTTTTTAAAAACTGCAATTTTTTCAAAAAAAATAACTACAACTCTTTTGAAAAAAAAAACTGAATTTTTTTTAATAAAACACTAATTTTTTAAAAAAAAAAAAAAAAAAAAAACTGTAACTTTTAAAAAAAAAAAAAACTGCATTTTTTTCTTAAACTACTGCAATTTTTTTTTTTCAAAAAAAGTGCAACTTTTTCAAAAAAACTGCAATTTTTTTAATAACGTTGCATTAATATATATATATATATATATATATATATATATATATATATATATATATATATATATATATATATATATATATATATATAACTAGAATATTTAAAAAAACTCTAATTTTTTTAACAAAAAAAATAACATTTTAGGTAGATATATTCATATTTTTTTCAAATGAATATATGCATATTTGTTATACTATAATATTCGTAAGTAAATCATAAAAAATCTCATAATGATACGAAGATTCATAATGCTATCATTTCGTCATATCAAGATTTTCATATTTTCTTCAATTTATCATTTTTCATATCTTCAATATTTAGAGCTGTGATTCATATGTGAAATACATGTGATTTACATGTAGATCACATGTAATTCATATGTGAGTTACATGTTATTTACATGTGAATCATGTGTAATTCTTATGTGATTCACTTGTGATCTACATGTGAATCACATGTAATTCATATGTGAATCACTTTTGATTTATATGTAACTCACATGAGATTCACTTGTGATTTACATGTGATTTTATATGTGAATCACATGTGTTTCATATGTGAATCACTTGTGATTTATATGTGAATCACTGTGATTCAAATGTGAATAACTTGTGATTCACATGTGAATCACTTGTGATTTACATGTGAATTACATGTTATTTACATGTGAATCACATTTGATCCATATATGAATTACATGTGATTTTTTTCTATAATGATATGAGATCTGCTGAATTCCAAAACACAAATTCAAAAATAGAATACTAAAGAAGCAGATAGTGATTATTAGTGCACTATATAATTAGTTTATATCCAACAAATAATATAAATATTAGAATGTTTGTAAATATTCGGCATTTTTTTAAATAAAAAGATTATAATAATAATATTTATATACCTTAGTTGTTGTGCTCCTATTTGCATTATCATTTATCAAACTCATCATCTAATCTTGGGTTTAATTGCAACAATCAATTATACAAGTTCTGTATAATCATTTGCATTATCATTTTCAGGTGAATCGGTTATTAAGTTAGCACTTGAGGTCTTTTCAAGTTTTGTATGATCACTTGAATCAATTACAGGGTGCACTGGACTTGAGATGATCATTGAATCAGCACCAAAATTGTTTGATGGTGTTTTACCGGTGATGGATACTGT